ATATAAGAATTCGATCATGTAATAAATTACTAATATTATTCAGAAAGAGAATAATCTTTAAGAAGGATATTGTCTTATAATTTATTAACAAAAAGAATTACAATAGAAAGATCCATAACAGTTATAGAAAAAAAAGATTGCAAATTTTATATCCGTTGTGATACTGCACTAATAATTTTTGATCTCAAACCCAAGTATATCTCATTCATAAGAGCTACTCATAAAAGCGAATGATACTTATTTGGCCTACTGATTTTCAATAGAACGTATTTGATAAATTATTTATGATTTCTATGCATAAAACTATTCTTCAAATCAGTTGTTTGATAGTGCAATGTCAATACTTTTTCTTAACATAACAAAAATGTATGTTTGTCGTATTAAAATGTTCGTTGTTCGCCATCATTTTGTATCTATAGTGGCACAATCAAAAAAAACAATCTCAAGTATAAAAATTTATATTCTTATTCAGTGCGTTTATTGCTCTTTTACAATTGTATAGATATTACATATTTTATTCTTTAATTTTATCTGTACATCAAATTTTTATACATTATGTGTCATAGTAGTATGACATCATATTCAGGTTTTGATTGTCAAACATGAAACCACAGTAATAACATTTTGTTTGTTTCTCTTTATTTTGTAACTATGGAGAGTAACTTAGTCAATACATGTGTTTTTTTTTCTTTTGAGAACAGGCTTTAAAAAAAAACAAAGCAGACAGTCATTAAATAGAATAAGTCTCTGAAAAGCTGACTGAGTCAATATGAGCAATGTTAAAAAAAACATAGGCAAAAATATTAAAATAAAACCTGGATAATGGTTAGGAAAAACAAAAGTAAAACATGTTTTTTTTTAAATTAGTGACAATTTATCTGACTGGTCGATACTCGATGAAAGTTATAAGATTGTATTTCCATATATTTTTCATTTAAAAAGCATTTACTTACAAATAAAATATTTGAATAAGTATTAGAAGAAAAACAATCATTCAACAGAATAATAAATTTAAAATTTTCCTTTGCTTGAAGGATATATCAAATTTCTGTATATAGCGACTTTTTTTCTTATAGTGAATAAAGTGACTAGCATAAAACTCTATTGACCATACTACCACCGACAAAATTAACGCAACACGTATTTTTGATAGATATTTTCATTAATGGTCAACCATGAAAAATATAGGTTTTTCAGAATTTTTTTTCTTATCTATAGGACTTTGTAGAGCTTGTTTCGCTGATCATTTTGGTTAAAAAAATATTCAAATTTACCCGATAAATAATGGACCTTGACTCTGAATACTCAAAAATATCACCTACTAATCAGCAGTAGTCACAAATAGTCGTGAGTTTTGAGTATTTTGACTCTAATGCCGTTATTTATTGAGTAAATTTGAATATTTTTTTTACCAAAATGATCAGCGAAACGAGCTCTACAAAGTCCTATAGGCGAAAAAGAAATTCTGAAAAACCTATATTTTTCGTGGTTGACCATTAATGAAAATATCTATCAAAAATACGTGTAGCGTTAATTTTGTCGGTGGTACATAGTTATTTCAATTAAATGATTCGTATTAATATCAAAATAACGGTGTTGCTTTTAATTTAATGACAATTTCAATTTAGAAATGTTTTTGTGTTGAAATAACAGACAATATAAGAAGAAATCTTATTTACTTTAACGTTTATACCATTCAATGTGAGCAATCAAATTCTATGTAAATTTGAATTAGTTTGTTTTTAATATAAAAATTTTCTCATACAGAATTTTTCAATAAGAATCTATTTTGAAATCTTCTCGCAATTTTCGAATAAGACATACACGAAAATATATAAATAATAAATCACAATTTTGATATACTATCTTGATATATATATATTGTGGTATGATAAGAGTATTAACACCGGTATTGTCAATAGAATAATCGAGCCAATACCAAGTGCAATACTCAAATCAGATGCCACTGACTATATCTTTGATTATAATAAATGATTGTTGATATGATCCATGTTTATGAAATCTCAGTTGATAACAAGAGGTTCTAAATATGCAGCTCTTCTCCTACCAGCTGAGATTAAATAAACGGATTCATACATACAATAATACATTCATACATACGTTCTTTTGAAATTTTTGTTTATAAAAACGAAATCTATGTTCATATATGTATTACATTCATCTTTTATAGTGTATAAACTTGTCTATCATCATTATTTTTTAAAGTTGCGCTTCAATTGCATACATAGGCCACCTGAATTACGAGACAGAATGTTTCGCTTTTTTTTTTGTTCTTAGTAGATTTTTATCATTTTTAATAGACAAATGACACACATCTAAAATTGTGTGGTATTAATTAAATTTTTATCAAAAAAGAAAATTGAAAGAAAAAATAAAATAAAAAAGAGAAACTAATCTGTGACATATATATATATCAAATGATAACTACCATTGAGAACAAGTAACAATTGTAATTGAATACATATGAATGTTTTTAAGCAAATTTTATTAGTATAACTTTGATCGAACAAAAAGACAACGATGAATGTATATTCTAGATATCTATATTAATAAATAATTCTAAAAAAAAGTGTAAATACCTGAATGTTCTTAAGTTTTTTTAGCGTATTTGTTTGCACATCCTGTACAATATTCAATATTTGAGTCAGCTGTGTTTAGTATGGAACCAATATAGATTGTGAAGTAGTGACGTTTTATTTCCTCCTATACTTTCATGTATTATACCAAAACCATAAAAAAAGGAGGCAGACAAATCGAGAGGCATCAGCTTGACATGACGTGAAAAGTATTAAGAAGAATAGAAATAGACTCTGTATAATTCAAACCAATGACTAATATACACTTCAAGTTTTCATCGAACTTATTTTAATATATATATATATATTCACTAATATTCTTTTTCTATTGTTATCAGTTTCATTGAAGAAGACGTTAAAAAAGGAACGTATGGGCGTATTATATGTAAAATACTTATTTTATTCGTGGAATTCTAAGATATTGTGTTTATCCCAAAAGCAAAAAAAGAGACAACTTCTTCATTCACATTGATTAGATTTCTATTTGTTTTTGTTTCAAGTTTGAAATGTAACAAGAGAATTTCTCCAATCGGTTAATTGCTTGTGAGTCGAGATTATATGCATCAAATGAACCCTAAAATAAACTATGAATCCACTGAAAAGAGTTTGAGCCCTTAACTTACTACTGCCAAGCTACTGCTTTTTTCATACAGAGGAACGAATTGGTTTCTATACTATATAATATTGGAACTCATTATAATGGATTAAGGATGGAAATAATGACTGAAAGTCGTTGAAAATTATTAGACACCGTCAGAAGCTTTTAGAAATCAATGTAAACATAATCAATAGTAGAATTTTCCAATGATAAGATTAAAAGTAAAGCTCTGATATCTAACGATTGTTACTAATTTTCTTAGTTTTGTACAGTATATTTTTGGTTCATGCCGTGTTTCTTTCTCCTCAGGAACACTAGAATAACTCATTTCCGAATTTTGACTGGAAACTTTCCATACACACAGGATTCATCAAGAATAGTTTATTGTGGAAGTAACGGATATTTTCGTTATTTCTATCCGAACATACAACCATGATAAAAGCTGATCTTTTACACTATTCATGTATACTAGCAGATTTTATGTTTTTATTTCAGGAAACGAACAAATAAAATGACAACGCACTTGTACTAATCTGGTTGAGATCTGTCACTGTGCAAATTTTCCAGTCAAAATTCGAAACGCAGTTTTTTTAATGTTCCTGTTAAAGATCACAGCATTCTGCTAGAAAATACGAAGCAAATATAGTACCTCAACGGTAACTAAGCTATTAATCGGAACTCTTTTCAATGTATTCATAGTTCATTAAAGTCTACATAAAATACATAGCTTTGAGTCAAAAGAAAGTATTCTGTTGGGGATTTCTTTAGTAATATACATCAATGAAATGGCCTTGTAGTCGTATGTTTTGAATATAACGAATATGACTTTTTCATACATCAATAAGCAAACAAAATTTATTGATAAAAAAACTAATCAAAAAAGCTTGTACATTATAAAAAAAAGGGGGAGGAAAGATATTCATTATCGCAGTATGTTAGATGAAGTTTCGAAAAAAATACAAACATACGTAGTCAAATTATATAAAATCAAAAAGAAAGAGTTTATATGAAAAAGATTTTAATGAAGACATTGTTCTTGGTACAACTGAAAAGTTAATAAACTATTCAAATAAATAGCAAATTGATTACCAAACAAATAAGTTTACATTTCAATGAGTTTAACAGCAGAAATTTACTTGTTGAGAAAGACAAGTTTTACTGCGAAGAAAAAAAAACAAGAAGTCTATCTAATATTTCATTTAATGGAGACAAGTATATATGTATTATGATTTGGAAGTTTAATAGGAAAAGTCAACAATTGTAACATTTTTCATAATGTTGAATATTTTCGATTGAGAATAAAATGAAGTTCTTAAATACGGTAGTTAGATCCATTTTACATGTCTCAATATATTTGATTGAGCTTTCATATTAAATACAATAAGTGAATAGAAAGCGCTTGTGAACATTACCGTCAATTTAGAATACATTTCTCTTTCCTATTTGAACTTCTATCTTTCATCGGCATAATCCAATAGAAATAACCGATAATTTCTGGCAATTCAACAATATCAACATGCCATTCTTTATCTAGAAAAAAAAAAAACGTTAAAAATATTTTCGTCTTCAACACTTTCTTGTATACGTTAATTATTGTATTCATCGTCGATTTACTAATTTTTTTCTAGAAGTTAATTCATGTGTATTTCTAATGGTGTAGGAGATAATCAAAATATATTCATGGATAGAAGATGTCCTGCTGAGCTTATTTGTATATATAAATATAGGAGAAAAGTATTCATTTACTTATTTATTATATTCCTAACAAACACCATAAATATATATTTATTGTAAATTAATCAAAAATGAAAAGTTGTTATCAAAATCTTTTTATTATATTGGTATTAATCCTTCATCTTCGATTGATTATGGTACAGAACTATATTTAAATATTTAATTTTATACAAATCATATTTCTTTTAGACTTATCCTTCATCATATGGAAATGAACAACGAGCTTTTCTTCGTTGTCATTTATCTCCGATTTCATGCAAACGTGATTTGTCGGATTTTGAAGAAAATCAAAATCCATTGTCAATTATTAATAAAAATTATTTTCAAGCGTGTATGAGTTACAATAATCCTCTTTGGTTTTGTCTTCATGATCTATCACAATATACATTTGAAGATAAAAATCCAAATAATTAAATATATTCATCAATGGTTGTTGTCAACATTATTTATCTTTTTCTTATTCATTGATGTAAAACATGGCCACAGGAACATACTCATACCCGAAACCATTATAATAATACCTGATGTAAGAAAAGAAAGCTTATATGTATGACTAAGATCACGTAATAAACCTAAAATGAATGAAAAAAAAATGTTTTTAATTAATCTTCTGTAGATGAAAAGTGTGTTTATATATATACCTTGAATTGGAATACCGATAAGTGTACTCACACCTTGACAAAATTGTAATATACCAAATGCATTTGCCATATTATCCATTGATAAAGCGTCAATAACAATAAGTACTTGTAATGCATAATTCGCACTAATTGCTAAACCATAGATAAATGCACAAATAAGAACAACTAATATATAACGAAATAAAGCAAGAATAATTAATGATGCACCAGATATAATAACTGCTATTGTATACATAAGCCAAGCAGAAAAAATTTTTCGATCATGTAAATAACCAAGTAAAATTTGTCCAAGAGCTGATGCAATACCTACATTAGATAATGTCCATGATGCTAAATAACCTGAATTACCAAAAGTTTCAGAAATATATCTTGGAATAATAACATATGGTACACCCATAACAAGACATAAAGTAAAATTTGATAAACAAAAGAGAAGAAAACGACTATTGAGTAACCAATGTTTTTCTTTGAGAGTTTCTTCTGTTACATCTGTTTGTTCTGGTGGTAGTGATGATGGTGGTTGTGCTGGTAATGATGAGGATGGGGATTTCTCGTCGTCGTCACTAGTTTCGTCTGCCGAAGCGATGGGTGCAAGTGGAAATGGATGAAAAGGTTGACGAATTCGTTCAAAAGATCCGTCAAATTTTCGCGATGTTTGAAGTGGAACAGCAATAGTATTTGCACGATTTCTTTTCAAATTTTTCGTGGTAACAGCATGAACTGAAGGAGGTTCTGTACTAATGGTACGAAAACGTGGTCGAAGATTGAGTGAATGTCGACGAACAGCTGCTGGTTCAATAGGAGGCATAGTGATCCCAGTACGAACGGGAACAGAAGAAATAAAAAGTGGTAGAACTTGTGCGATGGTCATACCACGAGAACGACGAGCACGTGATGATGTCGCCGATGTTTCTTCTTCTCGTGAATGTTCTTCATGAACTGTGATAGCAGTAGGACAGACAGTCGAAAATGCAACAAGCTCTGTTGTTGTAGGACAAAGAGTTGAAACAGGAGAAGAATTAGAAGCAGGTTTTCGAAATGCAACTACTGATATGAGCATTAGGAGAAACAGGCCACCTAAAAAAAGAAAGTAAAAATTTTATAAGATGAATCCCAAATATAACTTTGAATAAAATTATCCTTGGGAAACACCATATCTCTTAGTTTGAAATTTTCCACTGATTAATTAATCCATCTTTGATATCTTCATCTCGGAAGTTTATTGCTATATGATGGTTCGCTTGAACTCATCCATATAAAATTACAAAAAATCGATACTTTTGTTTGTTTCAAACTATTCATTTATGTACTATTGACCACTGAATACTCTTTTTATAAAGATGTGTGCGTCAGTCTCCATAGACGCAACATAAAGATATAAAATATCAAAAACAAGATTGTTTGAAACTGTTTCGTTAGCAGCTTCGCAATGTAACTGAAAAAATAATCATTGAGTCAGTCATTTCAGTCTAGAACAATAGAAATACACTGATGTGTTCATACAGTAGTAGGTAAAAGTTTGCGTCACAGCCAATTTCGATCACTGGATGTACTGAAAGTCTGAAAACTTATATGCATGCACTTCATCAAGAATGTAGGCATGTGGTATTGTGGTGCCGTTATCCCTTAATTACGAAAGAAGTTTTAATGAGTGACACTCCTTTTTTATTGTCAACTTCATAAAACCTAAAAAAGAAGAGATTTCTTTGTCAGTCGATTCCTCAAAATGTAATCCTATATTCCAGTTATGTATATCACTAATGTCATTGAAGTTCATCAATTTTTTCAAAGACAATGTTCCTTTTGCTGTGATCATTGATGTGGAAAGAAACCATCTAGTACTCTTCAGAAACCAAGAACTCAATGACAGTTCAATGAAACAAGTTCAAACCCTTTTTGAAAAGCTTCGTCCACGGTTACATACTATTATCTACCAGGTTCAGAAGCAAACCTTATACTAAAGAGAAATGATAATCTTGTTAGTTCCAAGGATCTATAAACGTTAATATTTGAGCGAATGAACTTATATTTTGGGTAAGAGAAGACTGTAGACAGGATTCCATTTACATGTATACATATAAAGAATCAGTTAATTTTGTTAGTAAGAAACACCGCAAAATTTTATATGTAATCTTTTTCAAATGATAATACTCAGAGAAAAAAAAATACATGTCGTTCATCATGACTCTCTTAGTAATTAAACAATAATGACGCCACAATACCAATGATCTGAATTCTTGCTGAAGTACATGTATACAGATTTTCGAAACTTCACTACATACAATAGCCGTAGATAAAAAGAGAAGAAATTTTTCTTTTTTAATTATCTTCATTTTTATATTTTTCTTTGCATCATGGTTTAAAAACTTTAAAACGATAGTTTCTCTGTCATAAGAATAGAGTTGTTCTTATTTGATAAAAACAGAGTCTTTTCTAGTTCTTTTCTTTACATGTTTTACCAAGCATAAAGAATTTATTTGAAAAACAATCAGAAAACAACAGATGCTAGCTTTAGTAAGATAAAAAATCATGCCTATAACATCATTGGTATTCTAGCATCCATGTGAACGCACAGCTGTATTTTTTCCCTCGTTAGATCTATTTATAATATATAGTAAAATTATGATGTGCCTAATAGAGACTAGCGATTATAGCGGAGAAATGAATCAAAAGAAGGAATGTTAAACTGATAAAAGATGCAAAACTGTAAAATAGAACTACTTGGATCCTACGACAGCCACGCAAGTTTGCTTAATATTTTCGAATGAGAAAGAGAATTATAAATTTTGTACATGTAGAAGATTTTTAAAACTAATATAAGTTGAATAAGAGATAAAGATCATATATAAAATAGAATATCAAAAAATAAAGGGATTGACATTTTAATCAATTTTCATGATACCCTGTAATACAAAGTAAATGACATCTTTTGATAACAGTAATATTAACTCGTATTATGATAAAGATTGTTTTTTTTTCGTACCTGTAATTAGCGATGCACCATGCCATCCATAGTCAATAATACATGCTTTAACAATAATTGCTAATGCTACTTGACCAACCCCACTACCTGATACAGCTAATCCAGTAGCCAAACCACGGTCATCTTCAAAATAAAATGGTAAAGTTAAATAAGCAGGTACATAACAGAATGCAAGTCCGACACTTAATAAACATCCGTAACTAACAGCCGATATCCAAAATGTTTTATAAAATTGCAAAACAAATGGAAGAATATATCCACTAGCTGAAATAATACAACCAATAAATAATGTCATACTAGCACCAAATTTTGTTGTCCACCAACATACAAGTGGACTTAAAAGAAGAGGTATCGACTGTGTAAGTGCAGCTAAAATACTAATAATTAAAGCAGTATTTGTTTTTGATTTAGAATATTCATTGATAAGTTCATCAACGTAAAGACCAAATGAAAATGTTGTACCATCAGCAAGAACATAAACAAGAAAAGCAGCAAAAACAATAAATATTTGCTTTGATGACCATGTTCGTAAACGATGAACAAGATTCGATGACATTATTATATGCTAAGTAGAATAAAGAAATTCTCTGCAATGTCGAATGGGCAGACAGAAATTAGAAAATAAGATAAATCTTGAGTCAATAGAAAAATGATGAAATGAGCGAAAGAATAAAAAAAACGTGGCTTAGGCAATAACAATGAATAAAAGGTTATGTGTGTCTGTCTTCATTACAAATCGGCAGATTGCTTTTTCTTTTTTTTTTGTTTTCTTTTATTTATCATCAAAAATCACAAATGTTTCTCATTCTCTCTCTCTCTCGGACACGCATACACACTATTTAAGTTGATAATGAAGTAAACCAGCGACAGCAGATTGAAAACCAGCATTGTAATCTGTAGCAACTTCATTTTTAATATAATCATCACGACGATCGTCATAATTATCATTTTGATCAGGTCCACCAACCAAAGCACCGATTAATAATTGAGGATTAGCTTGAGGATTATTAAAAGCATTCCAATCACATACTGCTGGTCGAGATGGACATGAACTAGAGAAATGAAAGTAAACATTTATTAATAACGAGAAAAAAAATTTTTTTTTTCGAATTACCTTGATCGATGATGAGGTCGTTGAGGATAATTATGACCAAAACCGATAACATATGATCGACCTGAATCACCTAATATATAATTGATTTGTTGAGAAGCAAAATTTAAATATTCTTGAGTATTAATACCAATATCAGCAGCCTATAAAAGATAAAAATAAAGAGTACTTTATTAATCTTTTAAAAATGATAGATAGAACATACTTGTAAACAAAGAAAAGCCACATTTCCAGCATGTCGAAGTGCTCCCCATTGAGCAATAAATACAAGACCTTTCGGTGTTTTTGGAACTTGTCGTACAATATAATTACAAAATGATTCAGCCTGTTGACGATAATTAGCTTGTTGTGTTATTTTAGCCATAAGTACTTGAACACCTGCTATTTTATCATCCCAACCAAATTCATTTGGTCGTCTATCTAGACCAAATTCTTTAAAATGTTTCTCAACATCTATTTGATATCGTTGTTCACCAGTTGCACGTAAAAGCCAAGCAGCAGCCCATGCTAATTCATCACCATAACCAGACCATGACCTATAGAAATCACCTGCATTTGAAATTGAATCTGAATATTTGCCACGATTTTCATTGGCAAAATCATATAATTGTCGAGCATGTGTTAATAATATTGAATGATATACAGAATCAATAGAACGAAAAATAATTGAAGCAGCAGCAAGAGCAGCAGCTGTTTCACCTACTAAATCAGAACCAGGTTTTTGTGCAGTTACTTTCCATGCCGGTCGCGACATGGTCCAATCTTCTGGTCGTGACCATGATGCATGATCTGCATGTCCATCACCCACTTGTCCGTAAAATTCACGCTCGCTTACATGTGCCTATTAAAAAAGACAATACTATATATTGTTGTAGTGTCATATTTCATTTGCAAATAGAATATGTTAAAACCATCAATCAATAAGGTTGATTTGATTGATTCACAAAAAAAAAAATATTTTTGATGTTTTTTATCCTCGATCAAATACAATATGATACTTTGAAGTTCATGCAAATAAATACATTGATGGAAGTTCTCTTGAAAGATTCATTCTAAAAGAAAATAGATTGATGAAACTAACCTTAATAAAATAATCAGTTGACCAGCGAATTGCTTGAAGCACTTGATCGAATTCACCCGATTCGACATATGCATCTTTATAATCAATGGCACCCCATGCTAATAATGTTGTAAATGCAGCCATTGGAAAACCAAATTTAACATAATCACCAGCATCAAAGTAACCACCAGTTAAATCTTCTCCTTGTTCTCCTTTATCCATTAACATGGAATCACTTCGCCAATTAACACGATTATTAGCTGGAAGTTTACCAGCTCGTTGAGCTTCATAAAAAAGAAGTGAAGCATGAAGAACAGCTTCATAATTATATTTGCCATTCACTGTTGATATAATTGATGTTGTTGATGAAGTTTGTGGCTGAAATGTTGGTGTACTTCCTGTTGGATTTATTGTTGATTCAGGTTGAGTAACACTATTGGAATCAATACTGACCGGTTGTCCATTGAATAAAACACTTATGATACTACTTGGTACAGCACCACCATTTACAACGAATTCAAAATGAAATGTTGAACCACTTGCTAATTGTGCATTCCATTCTTTATTACTATATATAAAGATTTGATCGTTGGTTTTTTGTTGAAGGTCACCTAACCATGCCTAAAATCAATGTTACGAAAAAAAAAAGAAATGATTAGGTTCTTTAAAAAAAAGGGAGATAGAATGATTTCATTTGTACATACATCAATGGTTACCGATCGATCAAATTGAATTTCGAGCTCCCATCCATTATTGATTTGATTTACAATTGGAATTTCTATGGCTCCTTGAAACCCTCCTGACCATTCTCTATCTACTCTCAATCTCGCTTGAATTAAACCAATTGCAAACGTAAGTAAAACAAATGTGTACTGCATCTAAAGTAAATTTTCATCACAGTAAAATTTGCTAAAACATTCAAAAACTTACTAGTATCATCTGTATATCAATATTGATGTTATCAACAATTATTTATATATATATATATATCATTCTTAATCCTTTATGATTACTGCTTTTAGTACTGAATGTGGCAAATATCATATTACATTTAATATTTATTGTTACGAATATAATATTACTTTCATCTTTAATGTCCTTTGTGTGACCTCCTCTCAATTTTTTTTAAATTTAATTATATAGAATAATAATGAAAAGAATGTTTTTTCTAAGCATAGATTGTATTGACTGAATATAAAGAAATGAATCAAAAAAAACTGTATGAAAGCACTTGTATGAATTTTGCCTCTATTTCAAAAAAAACAGAAGAGTGAAAACATTGACATTAAAAACAAAATAGGATGGAAGATGAGTTACGAGAGTTTTCAACATCACCATTACCTTCACCAATTACAACCGATGAGATTAATAAAAGTTCTCGTATGGCTCTTTATGAAGTATATGAAGAAAAAAACCTTTGTACGATATTAAACTTGTTCTGTTTGTGTAATAGCGACCACCAACAGCAGTGGCATCGCCGAATCATCAATCACCAACAACAGTGGAATCGGTAAATCGTCGACAAACAGAAGCTGATCAGCGTCTATTGTTGGAAAAAGGTATGTCTGATGCACACGAAAAAGGTTTTTGGATATGTCGCTTATGGCAATTATTACTAACATTGAATATTACTATTATTCTAATAACAATTATACTTATACTCTTACTTATTTTCATCATTGGACCTCTTTGTAAGTTGCAATCGACTGAAAAAATCAATGTAGTACATAAAAAAAGTTTTTTGCTTATTTAGCTCCTTATCAAACCTATGGTCAATCATGTAAAATGTTATCATGTAATCCTGCTCATGGCCTTGCTTGTAGTACAAAATCTATTTGTTCATGTCCATCGAGTGATTCTTATTGGTCACATAATGAAACAGGCTGTCGTATGTTGAATGTTACTATTCATAATTACAAAAGAATATTATTTCTTATTGTAGGTCGTTGTCCAAGTGGATGGTCAACAGTAAATGGAAAATGTCTTTTCGTATCAACATTTAATTTAAATTGGACAGATGCAATGTATTATTGTAAATCATTTACTGCTCAATTATTAACATTATCAGCAACAAAATTATATTCAAGTTTAACATTATCTCAAATAAATAATTTAGTCTCATCAAATACCAACTATTTTATTGGATTATCAGAGCAACCAAGTAATTCTGGTATGTTCTCTTTTCATATTTAATTAGGAGTATTATTCTGTACTGGTAGAGTTTTCTCTATGAAATAAGACTGTTCTGAAAATTATATGATTACTGATATTCAAGTTTGAAGATAATTACCATGTGATCATGATTAGTTCTAGATGCAAAATTTGTGTTTGTTTTCTCAGACGACAGAAAATCACACAGGACGTCAAAACATTCTTGCTTTGAAGAAAAAAGATTTCCTTACAGAAAGAAGTAGCTGAATGTTCTTTTTTTAAACTTTCATCTTCGTATAATATATCTAAAACTAGGAAGTCTTGAGCTTACAGCCCGTTAGATTAAAAATTGTTGGACTTGGACCCGACCGGAGATCCTGGACTAATCTGATAGGTTCTACTAATATTCTTCTCTATCTACAACAATTTTTTTCAGGCAATTGGCAATGGGTAGATGGAAGTTCATTACTTTCATCATCGATGAATTTATTTTGTACAAATGGTTCTATGAATCAATTTGATACTATTTTTCGGACCAATATGAATTGTGGAATCTATCGTATGGATTCATGTTTAGCCCGTTATACATGTCAACGAGCTGATATTAATTTTATTTGTGAAAAAAGTAAAATATTTTTTTCGAATTTTATTCTTTAAAATATTATTTTCTTTTTTCTTTTCTTTATTTATAGTTTAATAAATGTTTAATTTCTTTTTCAATACTTGAAAACAAAAAAAAAGTTTTATCATTAAAAGTAATTGATTTTTATACATGATTTTCTTTTAGATGAGTTCTGATTTACCTGATATAACAAAATTTCTTCATGATGAAACAAAAAATAAACTTGTTATTTATGAAGTAAGCTTTGTTTTTTTTTTTCTTTTTGAAATGAATATCGTTAAGTTTTATATGAATAGTTAGAATTCAATAAAATTGATGATCCAAATGAAAAACTTCATACTCACGCTAAATCCCAAGGACAATGCGCATGTCGATTATGGTTAATTTTATTTTTAGTAAATTTTGCCATAATAGCTATCGTTATGCTTTTACTTCTTTTACTCTTAATTGAAATTGGACCTGTGCGTAAGTTTATCGATAAACATGGTTT